CACGCAAACCGGATGAGCGAATTCCCATGATTTCGCATCCACTTGGGGTTGGACGAAGATCTGGTCAGAGGTTCTTCGACCTGACCTAATGCCAAATTCTCTACTTGCAGTGAAGTACAGCGGGTTGAAGCCTTTCTCATGAGCATAGCAGTTAATAATAGCAAGTTCACCCTGTTCGCTGCATTTGAACCCGTGCTCTAGCATGCAACCATCTACTAACCAACTAGGCCACTTCAAATTATTTCATTTTTCCCGCCAAGTGTTTCGTATCTTGAGCCATCCTGGGCAATTCCACTGTCATATTTTTTTTCACAAATATCATAGTATCATAAATTCCGTTCAATTTGTTTCAACGTTTCACTTAAAATGCGATTTTCTCATTCACGTGAGAAACGACGTAAAAGCAAAACGTTACAGTCCCATTAGGCTTAATCATGAACGACAAATTACAGGAGGCGCTACACGTGCAGTAATCAGAACATCAAGTTGAATAAGTTGAATCACAATATAAGTTGAATCCTTGCGCTTAGACAAAGGACAGAAGTTGTTTTGAGTTCAGCTGCTCTTAAAATATGCTTCACTGTCTAGAATATATGCGTCTAATGGATTATGGGTATATGCAAAATAGCACAACATACGCAACTGAAATGCACTTATCAATTCGAAACTACTTTAACAAAGCATTCTTTCAAACTAGTTTCTTGCTTCAATGAAGCCTTAGAATCAAATGCAAACACAGTGATCAGAGCTTTAGTGAGTTCGTGCCATCATGTCTAGTCGTTCTTGAAGACAAAAGCACTGAAATGCAATGAAACATTACTAAGCTCAATTGGCTTTGGATTTTGAGTCGTTGTCTCTCTCAATGATCCAGATGATCAGTCTCTGGGATATGACTGGGTAAGTCACACAAATGAAAGTGTCGAACCCAATTCTGGCAGTAAACACAGAAATTCACTGAAACTATTATCCGCTTCTCTGTTATTGGGAACAATGAGTTTATTTGTCACGCATCACCATCAGATGCATAACATGATTACATGTCGCTTGAGGCTAATGATATCCTCCTATCTCCCCATTTGAATTTTTATATTGAAGGAGAGATAAGTAACCCCGCTCTATGCAAGTACAACCGTTGAAACAAGCAGGCAAGGGATTTAATCTCGATGTTCCGATTCTAAATTTGGTGGGTACCATTAACCAGTACAGAGTAATCTGACTTTTGACTAGCATTGTATGAATACACATGTTTGAATGAAATGACTAGTAACTAGCTACGGATGACTGCTGTGACCATTATTCTAATGTTTCTTACGAACGTTTCTCAGTTTATGCTATAGCGCTTCAATCACTGTTCATGCATCGTCTAGAAGTATTTAATAGTCAGCTGTGAAATTTTATCAATATTGGATGGATATAATAAGATAATATTAGTTTACTTAAGTTTATCATCGCATAATTGAGACACAACCTGAAGTCGATGATCGAGAAGACCAGACCAAGGTGTTGCATTCGTGACGAATTCTTAGCGGGGTTCTTCTACTCTGATTTCTAACAATCCAAGCAGAAAATATGTCCATCAAACAGTGGAATATCTGCTTTGCTTGATAAATATTTAATTTGCACAGTTCCTGTAGAATTTTTACTTGATCATGCAAATTATTAGACATTT